CTACACTCTTCCCCTCTCCCACCCTCCTTCCACACTGTCTTCAGTGTCCATAATTATTTTTACTGTTTTTATGTCCTCCAATTTTTCAGCAGGGGACTTTTTTTTTTAACCAATAGCTGTATTAGAGAGAGAGGCACAGAACCCCCAGAGAACCTGGCTGGTCAAGACTTCTCATCCAGTGAAAGCCAACAGGCGCTGGTCAACACTGGAGGCCTTTCCTGCCAGGGACATGTCGGAGACTGTCCCTGGCCTGCACGGTAACAACTGCAGCTGCTTGGAAGTGTCCCACCCGACTTCCTCCTCCTTGGCCGGGTTCCTGAGAGTTCATTTTCCTAAATAATTGAGGATTCAGGGCATATCAGATACGACTGCCTAGAAAATGTGAGGCTGAGGCTGGAATGGGAGCTGGTGCCCAGGGAGCTGGGTTTTCTTTCTCCAGTTAAAAAACTCTGATACCTGTTTTCTGTTTCCTGGCACCCCCAAGAGAAGGCTGGCCAGCCTGTCCCACCCACTCTGTCTTCCAGCTGATCCCAGGTGAATCTTCCTAACACAACTGGCCCTTTTCCCCGTGATCCTGGACGAATGCCACATCACAGCTGCTGCGACAAGACTATCCGGCCGGGCCCTCTGCCAACCGACTCGGGCACCTACAGCTCACACAAAGCCTCCTCTGCTCCCGCAGTCAATGTGCATCTGTGTTCCACCAGCTCGTGGCCAAGATGTGCCACGGCCTGCCCGCAAGCCCCCATTCATGCTCTGTCCTGACAGAGCCACGCTTCAATGAGCTTTCTTCTTCCCTTCCTCCAGCCCCTCCCCGAAAAGCGCACAGAGGGCTGTAAAGTGGGATTTTGCTCCGCAGGAATAAAGGAGGTCAGCTTTCCTTCCTTTCTCCTTTCCTGTCCTTGGTCTAAATTTGACGAGTGGAAGCAGTTAAACAGACCCCGGTCCTGACCCAGGGAGCACTCCTGTGGCCAGAACTGCCCTCATCTGCCTTTCCTACTCGGGGGGCTAAAGTGGGAGGTGGCGCATCGAAACCTGTTACCACCCGCCCCCAAAACTCCTGGGAAACGTTCCTTGCACAGAGCCGGGGAGCCTTACAGTCATCTTACTCAACCCCTTAAATTAAACTGGGGACACTGAGGCCAAAGAGGCTAAGGACTATACCTGGCCCACACAGGGAGCTTCCCAGGAGCAGCTGCTTCGGGGAACCATCCTTACGGGCAACAAGAAAATCAAGCATCTTACCATCATCCAAGTAGGTCTGGTCCAGGTTCTGCTCCTGTTTAATTGTCACTCCTGCAGGTGCTACTTCCTTTTGGTCACTGGCTGGGGGTCCGTTTTTGGCAGCTCGTTGATTCGGGGTGTTCTGCTGCTGAATGACCGTGGGGTAGGAGCCCGGACTTAGCCTCTGCCCTTGGCTGACCGGGGACGGGCCAGGCCTGGTGGTGCCGGGTGCAAAATTCTCGCAGTACATGATGTGCTGGTGGCTCCCACAGCGCAGCTGCTGGTTGGTGGGCGAGTAGTGGATCACTGGCGAGGCCTGCTGGTTGGCTGGAGAGGGGTGGAGCAGAGCCGGGCTCTGGCCCTGGGAGCCAGCATGCACCAGCACAGAGCGGTGGGCATCCGCCAGGGCCAGGGGGGCGCCCATGAGGGCCGGCTGCTGGTAGCCCAGCAGGCTGGGGCTCAGGCTCTTGCTCCGCTGGTAGAGGACAGCCGCTGGGTTCTGCTGCTGGTAGCGGGCGTCAGGGGACGAGAGCCCTGAGCGGAATTGCTGGCAGGGAGCCATGGTGGCCACGAGGCAAGAGGGGGACTCAGCCACCATCGGGTGCTGTGGGTAATAGGGCTGGTTCCCCAGGCCTCCGTGGGCGGGGCTGCAGATCAGAGTGGGGTCGTACTCATCGCTGGGCTCCGTCTTGATGGCTGGGACTGTGAGAAAAGAGAAGCACAGGGGGCACCGTCGCAGTGAGCCATGCCGTGCAGACGACTGGCAGCCGTGACTGGGAACACGGCTTTGGGAGTCCAAGAGGGGAAGACCTGCCACGGGGGAGCCTTGGGCAGAGGGCCGCCTGTGCAGTTGTCATGGATCAGTCATTTTTCCCCGGCATTGATCTCAAATTTCAAGTTTTTCCAACACTGGAAAGGTGGCTGGTGCTGACTCAGCCCTGGGACATTTACAGACCATTTCCCCAAGGTGAGAAACGGTGATACCAACTTATCACCAGGGAAAATGCGCATACACTTGACAGTTTACTTGTGATCTGACACCCGCCCCCGCCCCCCACGTCAGCTCCTCAAAGGGAGGACTCCATCTGTTTTGTTCAGTGCTGGATCTTCTAGGCCCAAAACAGCACCTGGTACTTACATGGCGCTCAGGTATTTTCTGGACAAAGGAATGAGCAAGTAATGGCTGTCGCCATCCTCAGTGCTGCAGGACTTTTGGAGAATGAGACCTACTGGCTCAGGCCTCAGCTTCCCCATCTATCACTTCCCGGTGACAATCATACCTACCCCACGGCGTTGTGGGAGGATTCACAAAGATGCACGTGTAAAGCACTTAGCATAGTAAATGGCTTTCAGCAGATGCCCAGGGCTCGCTGCTGCCGTTGCTGTACTCGATCTGCGTTGCCGCTGTTGCTATTCCCTTCCCCAGCCCCCAGACCCCAGCCCCTGGTACCCGGCACCCAGTACCCGGCACAGAATGGATCCTTCTTCACATCCCACCTATAGCATTACCAGTCCCAGCAGTTGAGGAATGAATTTTCTTTTCACCGGAATGAGTAAGTCAATGATGGACCATAGCCGAGTATAGGGGAGGGGCTCCCCAGAGCTGGGGTGGGGAGAGGCAAGGGGGTTCAGGAGGAGGTCCAACTCCAACCACAGAAATCGCCACCCAAAGGCCATCATCCCAGCTCCTGGCCCAAATGGGAGACTGAGTGCTTGTTTAGCCATGCTCAGCCAGAGAGGGCCAAGGCGGGAAATCCTCCACCCCACGAATGGGAGCGAGGAAAAGGTAGCACACAACGCCTCTGAAAACTTCTCTTAAAGGGACACACTGAATTGCAGGCTCAACCCCCCCCCCCCACGGGAAGTCCTCCTTAG